GGGATCACGACTAAACAGTAAACGATCGACATGAAAGTCAGCCTGGATTAGTCCTGAAAAGCCACACGAATCTTGACCAGCCTCCTCCCCACTTCTGTGTTTAACGTTAGCTGTAAACATTCCGAAGTTGATACTTTGTTTCAGTCACTGGAGCTGTAGCCAATTAGCTTGCAGATCAGAATGGTGCCAGGATGGTATTGGATCTTGACAGAGCTCGTCTTAGAAATGTTTTTTCTTCCTGCTATTAAAGGCATGGATGCTGCTAGAGATTTTGGCTCCCAACAACCCAGCAATTCTGTTACAAATTCTTTAGGGCCGTAAACTGACCCCCCCTCCGATGACGGTACAACTGCGTAGGGCCGGTTGCTCCATCTCACTATGTTTTGTTTTGCTTTCAAAATCTCTGGGACTGGAAACTGGGCTGTAATGATCCTGAGCCATGGAGGGGGGGGTGGTCTTGTATCTGTCTTTTCCCAGGCAGAACAAAAGGCCCGTTGTATGACGCCATGTGGCACTCTCTGCCTGAGACCTCGGCCGGCTTCCCCGGTACCGACCCGGTCCCGCTTACGTAGACGGTCATGGGAGCCTCCCACGTCTCCAGGGGGGGGAGGGGGGGGTATTGGGGGTAGCTGGACTGTTTTCATCAGTTGGCGAGCCGGATCGTGACACCGCCATAATGAGTTCAGTGTGCTGGCCCCTGTGCTGCAGAGCTGCTCTCAATTAGGTCCTTCTGCCTCATATTAGTGGTGTGTTTTATGAGGCTGATATGCACAGAGCCTAATAAAGACTGAGATGTTGTGAGGGCGCTTCAGACTTGGTTAATAATGCATCACTGGCATGGCAGTTGAGCACGGTGTGGTGTTTGTTTTACATTTACCTTTAATGCTTCACCGGCTCATGCTTCACCGGCTCATGCTTCAGTCATATTCGTGGGTCCATTTAGCCTTTTCTTCTATTGCTTACTCTACTGCAGCATTACTCTTCTCTATACTACACCATTACTCTGTTCTCTATACTGCAGTCTTCTTAAGTATTTTGGTTGGGTTTCCCTTTGGCCTGACAGAGACGTTTTGCAGCTGTAAGATATGTTGAAGAGCTGTTTAAATTCTGCCTGCCACTTCTCGGAGTGCGGCACAGTGTTGGCACAGTGTTTGACATGCAAAAGACTCGTCCTGCTGCGGTTTGAGGGGTCACATTAGTGGGTCCCTTCACACCATCGGCTGCTGGTTATCGGATTCCTGGGTCTAGATCATTCGGATGAAGGAATCTCCAGGCAGGAGAGGTTGGTGGATCACCGAAGAACAGTGTTTTCCCACATGGGAAGCTGGGCTGCGGTCTCCTGCCGGCCAGAGCTCTGGGTGGAGTTTTTCTTTCACGCGCCTTGGGGTCACCATCTGGTGTGAGATGGAGAACCATTATTCTACAGCAGTTTAGCCACAGCTGATCTTGTGAAGTGGATCGTGGTCCTGGATGGAGGTTTTGCCTGGAGAAGTATGTAATATTAGAAAGTATAACAGTGATTAAGTATGGCAGTAATGTTTATACTCAACCTGATATGGTGAGTACCTTATTTATACCGTGATCAGCTTCAGCAGTAAAAAACATGGAATTTGATCTAAGCTGTATAAATATCTCTGACAGTAGATACCCGGCATTTCTCTGGACGGAGCCCTATTTATAATCACTGTGGAACCTTTAAACATGACGTTTCAGAAGATATGAAGCACTGAACTGAGTCAACAGCGCAGCTTTAAGCTGTTTATTGGTCTGCATTAGGCAGGGTGCCTGTTACTGTAGGAAGACGCTGTCAAGGTTTCTCTACCCCGAGCTCATGCAGGACCTTTCTGCTTGGACCCTGCAGCTATTGTGTGGCTGAAGACATTAACGCCGTATCAGAGCTCTCCCTGAACTTGAGAAGTCCACCATGTCGTTGCTGGATCCCGTGCCCTGATTCTGAAGAAGCAGCCCAACTGAAGCTTGTAAAATGACCCAGGTTTTACATATTTTTGCCTGCTGTGGAAGTTCTATAGTGTCCCAGCGCTAAATGTAAAACGAGCCACGCCTTGCTTCTGGATGCGGGTAAGAATCTTCTAGACCTTCAGATGCCCGTGTTTTGTGGACCGCTGTAGTCACACTTGTGGGGACTGTGTGTTTTATATACATGGGTGCAGCATCACATAATCTAAATTGAGCAGTGCATGATGTACCGGATAAATCCAGCCTATCTGTGAGGCAGCTTTGACCGTCATTTAGCAGATGCGACGTACAAGGGAGGCAGAAGATGCATAACGAGCAGGCAGCTGTCAAGGAGCCAACTTTGTGTAAGTTCAGCCGCAGCCAGTGAGAGAGTGGTAACGAGTACACATCAGCATTGGCGCAAAAGCTATAGAGTAAATTACAAAGCCTAACGGGAGAGCGACTGAGATCAAAAACGCCGGTGTTTTCCTACAAAGTGAGTGCAAAAATAAAGCTGCGGCCGTTGTTGCTGAGAGCATCTCCAGGGGATGGCAGATGAAGACGGAGTGGGTCGTTGGTCAGATGGACTGGCAGAAGAATTTCCTACAGCCTCTAACCCCCGGCGTGCGATTCTTCAGAACGAGCTGCTGACTGTTACCGGCGAGTGACGCTTTGCATCTTGCCCGTGTTTCTTTTTGCCTTCAAGATGTCCGTATTTCTCGATTTGTGTTGTAAGGAGGGGTGGGTGGGGGCACTAAGGTCTGATTCAGTGAAGTTGTGTCCTCCTGTTTTCTAATCCCGGCTCTGCCCTGTATCCTGTAGCACGTACTCACTCCTTTGAACCCTGTCGTACCCTAGGTTCGGTATACGCTGTTGTTGTTTTTCATTAAGCTAGCATTTAGCAGAGAACTTCCTATCCGAATAATGACCTCACTACGAGAGCAATTAGAAAATGAGGTTGAGTGTAATCCACCAGCCAGCCCCACCCCCCCCGTCCTTTAGTTCCCCTGCTGATTCTGCAGCTATAATCTACACACATTCGGATTTTTAAGACCCATACGCCCATTTTATGTGGGCACTAAGGTCGAGGGAGCCGCCCGCAGAATTCCGGGCCATAGCTGCTCACTTCCAGCTTCTGGTCTGGCTTGTGGGTTTGTGGCACAGAAGGGGCTGCCACAGTCCCTCACCTACTGCCCCACCGCACTTTCATGGCGTAGGCTGCTCTTGTCTAATATTGGGGGGGGGGCAGTGTGACTCAGGCCTTTTTCCTGACTGCCTGCCATGCCTGCATTTCTCCCTTGGGTTTCCTACCACGTCAGAATTCCTCATCCTTACTGTAATGTAATCCGGAAGGATCGTCGTAGCTCGCTTGAGTGTAAACAACTGGAATTTGTGAACAAGTCTGTTCTCCCACGGATTAACTCTTTCCTGAGTTTGCTGTTTTTAATAAGATTGCTATATGTAAGTACTACATGAAAGGGTAATGAAGCGAATCACGGTGGCCCGAGGACCAACTTAATAGATTTCTGATGGTGTTTTCTCTGACAGTTAGTGGCGTTTGTGTCTAAATCACCTTGAAACACACAAAGTACGATAGACTCTTGTTCTGACTGACGAGATCCATTTTGCGAATCGCTGAGGCGGTGTGGCTGGTGTCTGATCTGCAGGACGATGTCGCCGCAGGCTGGTGACGGGGACAATCCCCCCCGGCACCCGTTTTCTGCTCTGCTGTCACCGGGGGGGCGTGCCGTGCTGTTCTGGCTGGCCGTTTCCGTGACGACAGATGGGCGGTGGTCATGCAGGGAGAGTAATTGAGGTGCTTCCTGTTTTGCTTCTCGATTTCCCGGCTCCGTGGGGAAGGAGGATGTCTGTCTCAGTCCAGAGGGGCTGGGGGAGCAGTGGGTAGGCCGAGACGGGCCTGGGGCTTTCCTGGAGGAGCGGCCGCCCAGGAGGGCTGGCAGAAGGCTTCCGCATCATCGTTTTTTCCCCCCCAGGATACCCGCACATCCCGTCAGCGACCAGCTGCCGTCCAATCAAAGGCGAGCCCTTGGGATGTGTAAGCTGTGCCGTGTAGCCGAGTCGCTGGCCATCAGGAGAGCCGTCTGCCGTCGGAGGGGCTCGCGCAGCTGTGCCGTCAATAATAAAAATTCCAAAAATGTGTCTGTTATCAGGTCTGCCGTAACGGCAGAAGTCTTGTGCTCTTCTCACAGCTACAGAGAGTCTGGGTGATTTGAGAGGCAAACCCTTGTCTGAGTTTTTCCCCATGATGCGCTTGTCTGAGGTGTTGTTTTGTGGTCTTTCGGATGCCTTTACATCTTCCACGGCATGTCGGCTCTTTCTTTCCTTGTAAATGCTGCTTTCGCCCGTGGTGAATCCCTGAGGCCTGTCTTTGGTGTGTTCTTCGCGTTCTTTTTCCTCACATCTCCAGAATCCGGTAATTACTCACTACTTATGTGGCTTCAGATTGTTGTACATTTAACTGAATGTTTAAACGTTTCATATGAAGTCTAGACGTGGCCCAGAATTTGTTTCGGGTCCGATATTAACATTTTGACTCTCTGCTGATGCCGATACCCGTCGGCATTTAGTGCTGCAGCTGCACTGTTTGAGTTTGCCAAGAACAGGAAAATATAACGGTCATGTTGCTCAAACGAAAGCTCTGCCAGAGCAGCACATGAAATCCAGGGCCGACAGGATCTACACGTCTGCTGCTTTGTTTTATTGAGTAACAACTTTCACAGAAATCAACAGAAATATTTCATAAAGTACAAATTGTGCAGTCTGTTGCCAAATTAAATCTAATTAAGAAATCGGTCATAAACATCACTGTACACCCCAACTAACCACACCTAGACATAAAGTACTCATAAGTCTCCAGTGCAACGTAACCATCACATGACCTGCTTACAAAAACATGACCTGCTTACAAAAAAACCAACACATGACCTCTCTCTCTCTCCCTCTCTCTCTCTCTCTCTCTCTCCCTCTCTCTCTCTGTTTTTCAGCAGGTCAGCTGGTTGGGGTTGAGGGGGTGGGTTGGGGGGTGGGGAGGGCGGAGCAGACCCGTGGGGCCCCCACCTGTTCTGAGAGCGCCATCCACACCTGGGGGAATGCACCATGACCTCGGTGGTGGTTGTCGACGGCGGAGGGACCGTCGTAGAGTACATTGGCACCGTGGAGAATCCGCAACCGGTAAGTCCACTTCCCAGCCTAACAGCCCTATTTTCTCCGGAAGAGCACGGTTAAATAAATTTCTCCCTTGAAAAGACTAAGAACTGGTATGTTTCTCATTAATAATGTGTACTTCTTCTATTTGGAATCTGTTGCTGATATAAATATGATGTATGCTGCAAAAGCTTTGCACCTTAACAGCATATGCAAATCACAGCAAACACAACCCGGAACATTTTCCAGACACAGATCGGCTGCACAAAAGTATGAATATTTAATAATCATCCTGTGATACTTGCTGTCAAATTGGAATAGTTTTTTCCCCTCTTGTTAGTTCATGACATTTCTGTTATCATGCGTATAAATGCAAATAAATCCTCTTCTGAAGACCCCATCTGCTCATATTTAATGTTTGGAATATTTAACGTTTCGTTCCGCTTGGATGTTCATGCATGTTTGCTCTGGAGAGCCAGCTGCACATTTAGAAGCCAGGGCAGGCAGAGGTGCGTGTGGCGCCCCCTGCAGTTCACTCTCTGAATCCTGCCCCAAGACAGCAGGACACAATTGGTAATGCAGGGTTTCACTCAGGGAAACGGGAGAGACTGCACAGCTGAATGGTGGAGCAGACTGGAAGATTATGCAGGCGTTCATTAAAATAATCATGTTAAAATTACTTTCTGTAGTAAGGACCTCCGGTAGAGTCTACAGATCTGTTTACAAATTGAATATCGAAATACCACAGAAATTGTTTTTAACCTGCCTTTTAACCTCTTATGTGCCGTTTTTGTGTGCAGAAATTTTTGCTTAATTGTTTTATCCTGAATCCTAGTCAATAGTAACATAAATGTGTACGAAGTCCCTGCCACTTCAGGTTTATTTATGCCGTTTCGTCCATGTACCAAATGACATGGAAAACATCTTTATAAACTGGGGACCGATTCTCCATTCCCCCGTAGGGATTGTATCCATCTGGCTTTTGCTGAAGGTGTTAATTGCCGCCCCCCCCCCCCCCCCAGTTGCCCCTAGTGGCAGGAAGCAGGAGTGCGACTAAATGACGGATCGTTTTTCTGCAGGGGGGGGAGCAGGCCGGGGGGTGCTGCGAGGAGGACAGCTACCCCGCCGTGGTCGTGGAGCCCGTGCCTGGGGGGCAGTTTGAGCAGTGCTACGCCGCGCAGGTGCTGGTGTACGACGACGAGACCTACCTGATGCAGGGCGTGGCCGAGGAGCAGGAGGTGGTGACGGAGGTGGTGACGGAGGTGGTGACTGCAGGTGAGACCTCCCCCCTCCCACGTGGCCAAAAAGATGCGCGCTAATCAGCGTTAGCGGGAAATGCAGAGATAAGCTCCGGGAATTGTCTCACTCTTAATGTAATAATACGGCAAAAGAGTAACATGAACTAACTGCCGTTTTGTCTTCCGTTACCCTTTTGACTGTAAGTCTGCAGTAACTGTAAATTAACAAGGTCAACATTCTGCCCATTGGCTTCAGTGACATTCGTCAAACCTTATTTACGTAGATCTAGGGTTAACTAGAGTAGCTGTATTCATAGCCTTGTTTCGAAGGGGCAAGACCCTTAACCCCCATTGCTTTGCTGCACATTGGCTGTGCACTTTGACCCCCCCCCGCTTGCTCTCACCTGTATATTAGTTTGCATGTCTCATGTAGAGCAAGATGGAGTGGGTGAAGTGAGAGTGGGGATCAACAAAATATCACCTATTCTATTCAAAGAGGTAGATCTAGATCTTCTCTAGTATTTAAAACCAAATATATCTAGAGAGGCACATACAGCCAGTTCTCGTTCCATTTTACCAGCCCCTATAGTAATATTCAATTAAAATCAAAGGATGACTTTTTTTTATTATTTAAGCATGTTTTTTAATACAAGTACAAAATAAAATGTGCATACAGTAGAGGAGTAAATTGTTTGGTTTCAAATTAATATAAGAAAAAAACAATTATCACTGTTGTTCATTGCCTAAGCAAAGGACAAGAATTTACACTTTAGATTTTAATGATATTAAATAAATGAAACCATCACATTATTCATAAAGCAGCAACAAAACACAAGCCGATCTATTCACCCCGAGTGAGTGTTTTTCTGTATTTCCTGTGGGAGTTAAACTGCACCCCTAGTGGCGCTGAGACGGAGGTGGCTCAAATACCCTTCTGGCTCTTGATTTTGCATATGCTCACTCTGTGTTTGTGCAGGCTTTCTGCAGCCAGTTCCTCCCTGTAGTTTAAAAATGTGCAATTAAGTGAATTGTCTCTAAATTGCCCATAGACTGTGCATGTGTATGCGCATGCGCATGCGTGCCCTGCAATACACTGGCATACGGTTCAGGGTGTGCCCTGCCTCCATGCCCTGACTTTGCTTTGGATAATTATTATGGAAAATCGATGGATTTTGGTTGAAGCGAGACACCTAGTGTTCACATGTGGAATTGCTTTCTTGTTGAATTTCTACATCAATGCGGTGTACGAACGTTAGATCCATAGGCTGTATTGACATGATGCCACTTACGTTAAACTTAGTTATACAATAAATGTCTTTAATATAAACAGCAGTAATATATTACATAGGTTGAAACCTAAGCAAAAGCTGAAACTGACAAACCAAAGGAATAATTCAGCACAATAAAACAAATCTAATTTGTTGCTTGATATATTAAATATATTTATTTTATATAAAATAAAGATCAATAACAAGAAATCTTTGTTGGATTTCCCGGGATTAAAATAATCAGTATGAATACAGTATTTTCCTCAATTAAACAAATGCATTTCAGAGAGTGACAAAAGAGACATCTACATGTTTAGTAAATGCTGATTATATATATATATTTTTTTTAAATCGTGTTTTTGGGAGATCATGACAACAAGTGTGAACGATTCAGAAAATCTTTATATTCAGAAATCTTTTTATGAATTGTAATTAACCACCTTTATAAAATCGTCAATCGATTGGAGTGCTTTGCGCAACAGCAGTTTTAAGTTGCTTGTTTGAGGCCAGGACCTTAGTCTTCTGCAGTGATCTGCTACCCGCCCACATGTAAGCTCCTGCACGGTACCAGCTTCGCTTCCCCGTCTGTCACGTTGCTGCTGCACAGTTCCGGCGTCCTGCGCGGAGGGATCCGATCTGCCGGGGTGGGCGGGGGGCACGTTGCCGGCTTTCGGCCGAATTTCAGACTATTTCCGGCGGTAGCGGAGTGATCTCATTTCGGCGTCCCCACCCCCGACGCGACTCGATGCGAGTCAATGTGAATCTGCAGCTCCGGGAAAACATGGCGACCTCGGTGCAGGATGGACCCTCAAACCAGCTCGATCTTCTAATCAGGGCCGGTAATGTCTCGCGAGCCCGCGGCTTCCGGTGCATTTGCGCTCGGTACCGTTTTGTGCGCGTTGCTCGCGTGAGCGCCTCTTGAATTTCTTAAAGTTATTTTGTGAAGTTAGAGGGCAAGTCAGGAAGTGATCACCTTGGGTAGCAACCTGCATTGCGTCCCTGACTTTCCCGTTTCTAATAATATTCCTGTTTTTAAAACTCTGTTTAGAATTGTGGCATTTTTGCGTGATATGATGTGATGGCGATGTGAAGATCTCCATGTGCATCAGCAAATCAGCTGCAGATGCGTTTTGACAAAGCTGCACTTTTTTGTTGATGCAAAATAACGGATGATGCGAGTTGCTCGGGGAAACCAGGAAGTGTATTTGGGTTGTTGTGTCTTTGCCACGCTGTCTGGGTTTGTAGATGAGGTGTTTTAGATATCTTCGTTGATGTTTCTTTGATTTGTATTGAAGAATTTACATATAAATAATAATATAGATTTTTGTTTTATTTTTAAATAACTTGATTTACACGTTGTTACTAATTTTTCCTTAGTTCTCACACAATATACCCTTTTTCCTCAATATAATTTTACCCCAGTTCCGAAATATACTTTTCAGATTGCGTGCCTTTCAGGTGCTTACAGATATGCCGATAATTGTATTACAAGATTATTTCGTTTATGTTAACTTATTCATTTAACTTGTAAAAGAAGAGATTTGGTAGGTTTATTTGAAATCTTACCAGTGCAAAACGCCGTATTTACACAATTGCATTTTTCCATTAAAGAGAAATCGTGCTTATTTTGGATAATTTTTTAATTTTGTGTGCACGGTAACTTGATGGCGGAAGCGATGCGATGCAGCATGGGTGGGTGAATGTGTGATGGACACAGAGTCTGGCCAATTGTTTTACGGGGCTGTTCGAAAACCGTGGCTGAGCCAATCGGGCGCCCCAGGATGGGCGGTCGGAAGAATGAACTGGCTAATAGAAGTCGGGGTGGGGTTTGAGTGACAGGGCGCTACGAGAACGTCTGCAGAGGAAACTGGAGGGAAACAGCAGAGAGAGTGTAAACACGGAAGTGAAATGGAAGAGCGCTGCATTTCACAGGACCACCAAACGGTGTATAAAACAGTACCAGCTACCACCTATGTTTTCTAGGCACATGATAGCTTTTCATTCGTTAAGTACATTTTACGCTGTGATATGAATAGTATTTTTATTTTCATTGCAACTTTTAGACTGAATTAGTGGTTATTTATATATACGTACAGTTCAAAGTGCATATTAACAAAAATGGAATCGTGAACTAATCGCTTAAAATAGAAACGGTTAAGAGTCAGGGTTAGCTTTTTACTCTTATTGCAATCAAGTCAGTGTCTGTCATTTGGTACTTTATGACTATTTTTTTTTTAATTATTGATTTCGCTATTTGCAGTAGTTTTCTGCATTGACTCTTTCAGGCAGAATGCGCTTTACTGCCTAAAAATAGTGCTATTCTGGCATCTGCCATAGGCAGCCATAAATGATCCTTGCAGAGAACAGGCTGAGGAGATGGATGGCAACAGGTGTTACGTTACATGGCGTTTGCACCAGAGCCTATGGACTATGGGCAGAAATGTACCTGTTAGTAATGATTTCTAGCTGGTTTCTGTTTCTGTAATCAATGCCGACACAGAGACTTTTATAGATCTGTGGTACCTAAGGTGAGGTCTTAGACTGGGAGGAACCATTTCCATGTGGAATGAACTTAATGCTCATCTGTGTGTAAATAAGCACAGTGTGTTGACACCTGCTTTAAAATTACAGTATTATATGCAAATGAATTGTGTTAAATTGCGAGTTTGGCATTCTCCATTAATAACTGGAATGTAAGAAAGATAATGGAGGCGTTTGCTTTTGCTGGAATACTTAACTGATTACCTTGTATGCTACAGTCTTCAGTAACGGCGGTGGCTGGTATTTGGTTGCATTGCTTTGTTTTTCGTCAGATTTAGTACTGTGGGCTTGTAACTGTCACAAATGATAATCTTTTTAATAAAATGTATAAATTTGTGCTGTTTTGAGCTCCTTTCTCTCTCTCTCTCTCTCTACCCCCCTGTAGCTGAGGCGTCTGTGCACGGCAGTGGCGTTCACTGTTTGGACAAGACCATCGAGGCAGCCGAAGCTCTGCTCCACATGGACTCCCCCAGCAGCTTGCGGGGTGACCACAGCCCTGGTTAGCATCCGTCCTGCGTAGTGTGCTGCTGTTCCGCGCCTCACGTTCACCCCAGTTAATTCTGCTGTAGATGCTGAGGTGACGGTCAGTTGCTTGACCTTAAAACGGAGAAGCTATGAGTTACACCAGTTGAGCAGTATTACTTCATACCCCTGACCTGACTTTATAACTCCTTGATTCTGAATCTCAGCTTGTATGCCGGGTATTTGAGATTGTCGTGGTGTTTGTCAGTCTCAAGGGAAGTTGCAGCTTAAGTTTTATGCATTTTTCTTAAATTACTTTTTTTTTTTTGTTTCTCTTCAGTGAGCTAACTGCTGCCACCTTGAGGACAGTTGTTGCATTAGACTCCTTTTTGAATGTTGACCACTTTTTGTTACTAGATTGACCTGAGCCTCCCCATAGCACAGAGAGATGCATAGAGCATAGAGAGATGCATAGAGAGATGCATAGAGCATAGAGAGATGCATAGAGCATAGAGAGATGCATAGAGCATAGAGAGATGCATAGAGCATAGA